TCAAAAGTAAAAATTTGATAAAGAAAGAAATTTTTTAACTATAATAAAACTTTAAAAATTATATATCAAAAATTTTTTAAAAAAATATAATAAATAAAACTAGTATTAAGATATAATATATATGAATTTTATAATTTTTGATAATATAATTAAGAATTTAAAAATTGTCAAAATTGAAATTTATAATAAAAACATATTAAGTGGACTCAAACTTTTGGAATCAACTGTATTTTAAATTCAGAATAAAAAAAAAAATAACCTAAATTATTTTAAATAAAAAAGATTACCAAAAATTTTTTAAATAATATTTTTGTTACCTTCAAAAATAACTACATATATAAAAAAGCCTTTCACAGGTTATTTCTATACTTAATAAAAAGAAAAAATAAAACTAACAAAAATCATTTTAACAATATATAGAAATAATTTTTTTTTTATAACAATATTTAAACTCTACCAAAATACCATGAAATATTAGCATAAGTGCATGAATAATTTGTTATATGTCTAAAAGTCAGGTAAGAATCCTTGTTTAAGAAAAATTTTATATTATAGGAGAAACTAATTTATTTCATTTCTTTTTTAGTAGATAATAGATACAAGTTTTATGTATGAATTCTAAATGAATATGTTTCAGAAATTAAAAAGATACTTTGTGATAAATAGTACTTTCAACAAAATAATGATCTGAAGTTTACAAGTTACTTGACAATGATCTTTATCATAAAAAATATGTCAAATATTTTAGAATGGTCATATAATAATCCTGACTTTAATTTAATCGAAAATTTAGAGTATAGTTAAGGAAATATAAAAAAATATATACAAAAAAATATAAATAATAGGATGGTATATTGGTAAGAAATAGGTAAGAAATGGGGAAAAATAAAAAAATCTGTTCTAATTAAATTGATTTAATTGATAACAAGATATTGTGAGCTGATTATAAAAAGTAATAGGATCATATAACTTATTAAATTTTTTTTAATTGAAAATATCAGTCTTAAACTTTAAATATCTGAAGTTTTATGTGTTTCCATGTGACTGTAAAAAAAAATAAAATTTAATTTTTTTCGATCAGCACTATATACAATAAGACATGCCATGTTAACTTGACTGTGGATTAAAAAAAAAGAAATTATTGAATTTTTTGTTTATTTTTTAATATAATAATAATTAAAATTATATAAGTAAAATTACTAAAATATTTGTTAACGAAAAAATTTTTAAAGTTATAAATTGATTTTTTAATAGTTTAAACTTAAATATTGTTGAAAATTTTTGAGCTATTATTAAAAGAAATATAGAATTAAGATTATTTAAAAATTTTTAAATTAAATCAATTTATAATAAAAGAATAAAATAAAATTTCAAATAAGATTTTAAATAATTTTATAAATTCCATAAAAGAAAAATATAAAATGATAATTAAAAAAGAAGGTGAAAGAATTAATTATTAATTTTATATTAATAAATCATTAGATTTTATTTTATTAATAAATTAAAAATTATTTTTTAAATTAATCTCTAAAAAGATTATTGTTCAATAAAATAATTGATCGTCAGGCATTACTTTTGTAAATGACTCATTTGTACCTAATCGACATTTCTAATGACACCAATGAGGCGTATTTAAGAATAGTTATCGTGTTGGGGTTACCTTAATTCTTATGTCTTGAGCATTCTCATAAAAAATGGCATTCCTTCTTCCATCTGAATTATTATATAAAATTATCTATTACATCGACGAAAATGATATTAACACATTGCATTCTTGCATCCTGGTGAATAGGCTTTGGTGCAAAACCATGATGCCAAGGTTATGGAAAAATCCGTTTAGCTTAACATCAAATTATCCCCCAGAAAAACTTATAACCGTCTATATAAGATTTTTGCCTGAAGAGACAAAAACCTTGTTGCAGATAATGCCCGAAAGTCCGGGGTTTCATTCAAATTCGAGTTTTCAACGGGAACAATCAAACTCGGAATCAACTCAGCAACCTTTGTCGAAAATTTATTCACAAGTTATATTTAATTATCCGAAATTTTTGCGCGAGCTTGATTTCAATGAGCTATATTTCGCTGTAAGGAAATGGTGTTATTGTAATTATAGAATTTCCCTTTTGCAAAGAACAAAACCGTTATATCAGTGCGGAAAACAAATCCTTCTCGTTCTCCAAGAACTATGTAAACTTTTTATGAGATCGTGTGAAAGATTTGATTATCTTTCTCTTGATGTTAAGTCGATTAGAACGATTGGACCTCATAACGTTATTGATTACATCACACTGCCAGGTTTTCATGAAGCAAATGAGTGCTTGATACACTTGAAAAGATTCGTATCTCGTGGATATTATGAAAAACATCACATATTCAAATTAATGGCTTTGTATTGCAAGAGCATTCAGGAGTTGACCGTGGAGGATAATGATTCGACTAATGGCGACGCTTTGGTGGACCTGATCAAAGTTCAGAAAGATCTTTGTAGATTCACAATAAGAGATTGGTGGGGGTGCCTTGTGAACATAGTTCAAGCACTCACGGCACAAGTAGATACATTAGTTTACGTAGAAATCTATGGTTGTCACTTCTATGAACTTGTAGACGACTCTCGAACATTTGAAGGCTTAACGTCATGTGTAAATTTAGAGACCTTGAAGATCGAAGAATGTTATAATATAACCAGCGAGATTATGCAACCATTAGCTACCACGGTGTTGCCGAAATTAAAAACATTGTACTTTTCAAATTTCATGTTTCCTGATGAAGACAACAGTTCACCTCATCTAGAACTCACAGCAATGATACAAAATATGAATAGTAATTTAGAACAATTACGTCTGAACATGGATTTGGATAGCTATCCAGAGATAATCCAAACCTGCGCGAAGAATTGCCCAAATCTAACTTATTTCAAGGCCAAAATCCAGAATTATGACGAGATAAATCAGCTATTGGTGTTGATCGAAAACTGTAGAAAATTAGTGACATTGGAAATCCTGTCAGAAAAATGGGATTTTGAGAATGACCGTGAAGATGGAAGATTAGGAAGAAATGATTATGGATTACCGCTATTGCCGTTGGAATTCTTTCCCTATATGGCCCAATTGACGCCGTCCACCTTAAAATATTTGGAAATAGATGGGTGGACGTGCACACCTATGGAATTGGAAATCTTTTTAACTAGTTGTAAAGCAAGATTGAAGAAAATGTCTCTTATGTGTTTTAAAAATAGCAAAGATTATTTGGAGGTAATAAATATGTATGCAAAAAACAACAAAAGGATTATAAAAGATTATAAAGAAAAAAAAGAATGGGGATTGAACTTTACGTTGACCGTTGAGTTTTACAGTTAAGTTTCACGATTAGATACTTATTTAACATAGGCATGTATATTTTTGTCGATAAAAATTTTATTGATTAATAATTAAATATCAATTTGTAACATATTTTCTTTTTCGTTTCAAATAAATAGAATAAACAAATATTTTTTGAATAATAAAAAAAAATTATTTTTTTATCGATATTTCCTTTTTTATAAAATTATAATTATAGCAAAAATATTTTGTTGTTTTAATAGATAAGTATTAAAACAAGATCAATTTTTAATATAATCAACTTTCTAATTATTTATTTAAATATATTTTCGAAATATAACCATATAAATTTTTTTTTTAAATTAAATCAAACATCAAATAATTTTATTTTATTTAAACTTATATATTAGCTTTAAATTTTACCCTTATTATTAGTAATTAATAAGCTAGTTATTTAGTCTAGTCAAATATTAAATTGTTAAAATTAAACTATAAAAATAAGAAAAAAATTTTTAAATATATATGTTTTTTATTTTATTTTATTTTATTTATTTTTTTAATACTGATAAGTTGAAACTTTATGAATAAAAAGTAATAAAATCTAATAATCAATTCTAGAAAATATACAATACATATTATTTAATTATTAAATAAAATATTAAGGAGTAATTTCATTAAAAAACTATTTATTTTATAATTATTATTATTTTATAATAAACAAGAAACTGATAAAAAAAAACTACTATTATTAAATTAAAATTTAAATATTAAAAAGGATATATTATATAGATATAATTTTATTTTATTTTGTTTTTTTTTTTAACCCTCTGTCAGGCTAGTTATGTGTGCTTTATTAAACAATTGTAAGCTATACATATAGTATGAAT